GCCGCAGGACGTGGCGCTCTCGTGTGACGGGGTCCTGCGTCACCCGCGGTCCTTTCCTCCAGGTAACAGTGGACTGCTAATCTCTCTCTCTGCAACGCCCTGCCTAAACTGCCGGCACGGATCGGCTCGCAGCGACCCCACTGGAACACGGGGAGGGACCTCGTGGGGCTGCTCCGTGTCCCTCCCACCCCAGCCTCGGTCTTCCAAAGCGTCCGCCTGCAGAAGACAACCCCCGGCTGGGACGCGCAAGGATGCAACCGTGGCCTGTGGCCAGTGCTTGATCCTGACCTAGGGGTCCGAGGTGCGTCCTGGCACTGCTCTCATCGAGGAGCAGGGTTTCCTGGCAGCACCAGTGAGAACTAGCCCCTGCCACCAATTCCACGATGAGCTATTTCCCTTCTGCCCCTGCAAAGAGGCAGCTCTCTGTAAGCAGCTTTCCAGTTCCCTCTGAGCAAGCAGGATCTTTCCTGAACCCTGGAAATTGCAGGCGCATCTAGTGACCGCCCTGCTTGTGCTCTGCCATGCTCGCTGTGCCCTCCATCGACCCGGCAGAGCGGCGCTCCCGGCACCCGAGACCCGGAGCGGGGCGCTGCACAGACCAGCACCAGCAATCAGCTCCCACAGAGACAACCTGCGGGCGATTCAAATACGCCGGCTCCGCAAAGGAAGAGCAAAGAACAAAGCATCGGAGGGGGAGCCGGACAACCCCGCGTTAAAATAACTAGATGAGCTAAGGCCGCGCGGCCTGCGGCACGGCCGGGCTCTGCGGAAACGTTCAAGACCTATATAAAGGGCCGTTTGTGGGAAGCGCAGATGAGACCCTCTCAGCTCGAAGGCAGATGCAGGTGACTGGTTCCCACAGCTGTATCCTCACATCATCTGCCCACAAATTCCACTTTGAATTCAGCTGGGGAGACGCTGCCTCAGAAATCTGGGCATTGGGAAAAAAAAATGCTTAGCTGCATCACGGCCTCGGAATAAAAATGTAAAGCCCCTGATGAATTGCCCGCAGCTTTGCCGGGTAAATAGAAGCTTCGTTATTTAACCGACCGCACGTGCTTCTCAAAGGGGCAGATTTTTTGCCTCCTACTTTGATGCACAAGAGAAAGCGAGGGGAGAACATCGCTCCAGCTGCGGAAATGTCTGTCATCACTCTTGCAGGCAGCGAGGGGTCGGCATGCCTTGGGATACCTGCACCCGCTGCGCTGGGCTCTGAGGGGTCTTCTAGCGTGGCGAGGCTGGCAGCGCCCCGTTCCACCAGGACAGCAAAGCCCTGGCATCTCTCCCTCAGCGCTTGGATCTGAATTGAACTCTCAGAAATTAATTTGAGCTTTACAGTGCTGACTTCCATCAGCCGACACGGCAAGCATCTCGGGATCAGGCTGTGGGAGATCTCTCTCCTGCTCAGCGGCCAAAAGCTTCACCCCCACCGCCCCACAGTGCACATTAAATACAAGTGGACCGGCGAAGCCACACGATGTGCGTGAAGAGGAGGCACGGGAGGCACTGGAGAGCCCCCGGGAAGGAAGGACCCTCACGCCATGCAGGAAACCTGCGCTCAAACCCACGGGCCGGGAAGGCTGGGATATCGCAGCATTGTGCCGGTGCTTCATGGGAGGACAGAGTTTGCAGCGGAGCTGCTGACGGACACACACGCGGTGCTATCGTCTCTCCATCCAATATTTTCCACGGCACGAAGCGCACGTCAGCTGAATGCATTATCAAGCAGCCAGCATTTGCTCAGGCAACTTTCCTGCCCCGACCTGCCCAGAGCACGCACGCTGCGGCGTTGCAGCTTCCGCAAAAGGTGCGAGACGCTGGGCGCGCACCGGCTCCCCGCGCAGAGCGCCCGCACCCTTCCCCTGCTCCCTGACGACCCCGGGGGCTCTCCTGTCCTGCTCCAAACTGCCCTGTGGCCTTCGTGGTACCAAGGGTGCCAGGCCAGACGGACGCGGCCACAGCTATCACTGGGTGTGAACTCAGGCCCGCAGCGCTGGGGAAAGGCGAATTCGAACCTGCCCGCCTTGCCCGGGCTGCCTCTGCACAGCTGCACGTGAGGCTTTGCCAGCTACACTCGCTTTTAAGGCAAGACCTTGCCAGTGTTATCTCACCCCCGTCAAAGGCAGGAGGTGGTTTCCTTCTGCCTGGGCCCTTCAGCTGACTTCTGTGGCTTTGCAATCTCGCTCTTCCATCGGCAGTCGCACCCTTCTCTCTCTTGCTGTGTGAAACCACCGCCCGAGCGACCGGGGGAACTGCCGGGCCAACTATGCAACGCCAGGAGAAAGTGCCAAAGTGACTCGGGAACGCAGCCTGCGCACGCTCTCGTCTGCCCTGGCCGGGAAGGGGGTTACGTGCAAAGAGAACCAGGTGAAGAAGGCGGGATGGTGTTAGTCCTTTAAATTAAAAAGTTCCCTCCCTGTAACTGAGCCATGCCTGCCTATCTTGGAGAAAAACATATGCCCCTTTTGCTAGCGGCCCTGGGAATCGCGGCTATCCTACCGCTGGGGCACTCGTCCATCATCTCGGTGTCAGCCACCCCCAATCAAGAACAAACTGGGATTCCCAGCACACCAGTATGAAACGGGTGAAGGGATCGCAGTCAGCGTGGCACTGAACTGCTCGCCCGCATTTACAAGACCAGGCTTGAGCACAAATGGCCCACTTCCTAACCGGCCTCCACTCAGGTGTTTGCTAACTACTGATGTCTCTGCATGGCTCATTCCACTCCTGTGCGGAGAAGACAGCCGCCCCACAGATGCAACACAGGGCCTCGCACTTTTTGTGGGGCTGGAGAACTAAGAGTAACCCACGTTACATAGCAGGATCCCCCTTCTCTCCCCAGGATAAAGCCGACTGCTGAACGGGAGGTGGGGAGGGATTCTGGAACCGGAGAGCAGCGCAAGGCCCGAGCGGTTTTTAGTTGATAAATGATGCATATAACGACTTCGGGGGGTGTTTTTGGCGCTGCATGTACAAGGTGCCAGGGATGCCCTGGAAACTGCTACGGTTCAAATGAAGATGCAAACAGCCACTAAGAAACGGCAGCTCCGGCCTTTCACCCCGCCCTGCGAACAGCTGGCAGTGACAAACCAACACACATCATGCCCAGTCTTGCTGGATTGCAGCGCCCAGCGCAATGGGAACAAAGAAACCGATATGCCAATCTAGAAGGCTACCGGCATCCCAGGCTGCGTTGGGAGGAGCGCTGCCAGCAGATCGAGGGCAGCGATTCTTCCCCTCTATTCGGCACTGGGGAGGCCACGTCTGGAGTCCTGTGTCCAGTTTTGGGCCCAGCTGGGCACACAACAACACATGCCCTCTCATTCCTGGCACACGGATGACACATGCCACTCCAGAGATGCTCCGGTTTGAACATGCATGCCTAATGCAATGCTGCACCCAGGGCCTGGCACATCCAACACCCATGCATGAGGCATGCAGCCCCCACTCTGATCTTTTTGGGGTGGCACAGCTTAGACAAAAAGCTGCAGGAAAGCGGAGGGGGTTTGGGCGCCTGGACTCTCCATCCCACTATCGCTCCCTGATGGCGCACGCTGCCTCGGCACGGAGCCGCGCAGCCACTGCCGGCCGGCAGCTCCCGGCTCTCTCCTGCTCCTTGAGAGTGGCCAGGGAGATCAGAGAGGTTTCAAACACCAGTCGGTTTTCCAGCCCCTGAGAAGTTCAGAGCCTCCACGTTGGAGACGGCGCTCTTCCCGAGATGCTTCTGCAACAGCCTCGTCACGCTGATCCGGGGCGTCTAGAAAACGTCTCTAGATCCTAGAAACTCAGGACCTGCCGAACTAGAAGAGACCAAAAGATCTCATCCTTGGGGCTGGGCAAAGCTGGAGGCCTCCAAGGAAGGCACAGGACCGTCATCTGTGCAATGCCCCCTTGAATCCAGCTGCCAGATTATGACCTGACTATCAGGGCACGCTATCCTCGCTGTCCGGGGCTGCAGACACCATCACTGCCTTCCCGGTACAGCTCAAGAGCTACATTTTGCATCTGCTTTTGATGGCTCGTACCCTTGATCCTCCCCTGTGGGCGCAGCGTCTGCAGGCTGGTGACACACTCTAAGTTGGGAAGATTTCCTTATGGCAATTATAAGTTTGTTGCTTATGTCCTTGCCCCCTCGGTGCTGGCAAAGCCACAGGACACTGCCTGGACCTCTCTACTGCCCGCCTTGTTCTGATCCCCTCTGCAAAAGAGTCTCCCTCGCATCATCTCTCTCCTATGGGAAAGCACACC